ACCCGGAGACGCATGGACGAGGCGGGAGACAGCAAGATGGCAGAAGCTCCTGTTTATTGTAAGCTGGGTGTGACCTTTATAGCCCTCAAGGCACCTTGGGATCACGTGATCAGAGCCCTACAGCCAGTCCTAGCTATCCCAATCTGCATGAAAGCCTCAGGTCTGGGGTGTGTCCAGGGCATGCAGGGAAGCACTCAACCAGTCAGAGGAGAGCCAAGCCAGTCATGATTGCTGCGTGTCCACAAAGGAGAGGTCAGTTAAGACTTCCTTGCTTTCACACAACAGACTGTGACCCTCAACTCCCCACAGGCAGGAACCCTAACGTGGCAGAGCACCATTCCCAAACGAATCCCATGACAATCTATCTATCTAGTGATGCTGTGGTGTTGTGAATCTTGTAGCACAGAACTCCCTGAAAAAAAAAATTTAAGTTATGAATGGTCAATAAAGAGATGCAATGGTGAGCAACACATTTCCAATAATGATCTGTTTATAAAAGTGGCATAAAGGATATCATTCAGGAAATGTAGGATTGGAGAAGGAGGGGAGGCAAGAGCAAGGGATAGACAGTGGATTGATTGTCTACAAATGACCACAACATTTAAAAAGACCTAGAGGAAGACCTCCAGACCATTGGGTAGATCCTTGGTGGAAGATCTATGAAAGAACATAGACAGAATTTGAAGAGGTAAAAAACATTTATTGTTTGCAACACTGGGAAGAATTACCATGTTTACAAGATCACAGATTCATTGAGGCATTGAAGTACAAGTTCATCTGAATACAAATATTCTGTGTCTATGTGTGTTAAGAGGGAAGTGACTCCAGGCTGAAAACAGGGCATTTTGCTCCTCCCCACCAAGGTTAAAAATAAAACTCCAAGACAAAGTTTTCCGGTGTTAAAAATCAATTTATTAGTTAGGTTACCCAATAAACAGCAATTTGATGGTCAGTGGCTTCTCTTGGTAACCAAAGACAAAAAGGAAGTCTCTGAAACACCTTAAATCAGGTATTTTTCTTCTGACAGGGAACTCTCTTGACAAGCAAAAAGCAGCCCTGATTATTGGACATTTAATGAGAAGGTGGGCTGAAGCCTCAGCCCCTCCCCATTATTTAATCTTCAAGGCAGGATGTCAACTGAGGAAAGGCTTGGTCTTGAGTTTTGAGTCCACCATAACAATCTGGGCATCCTGATTAGGTTCTCAATGGTTTTATTTCTTCTTCATGAGCCAGTCTGCACCAAACTCTAATGAAGGCAGCAAGCATAGAAACTCATCTCCCTGAGGAGGGATCTAACTCAAGCTGGGTCCTGTTTACAGAGTAAACAAAACTCAGGTTCCCAGTTGTTTGGGGCCTAGCCCAACCTAGTTAACAAGCAGATGCCTTGCTATGACATTCCTTAGCTAGAATTGGCCGGGGAGATGTTTCTCTTTAATCTAGTATAAGAGATGGCCTTTTGTCAGAGAAGAGAATATTACAAATTAAATATTAATAAGTGACACAGAATTAAAATTAATTTTCCTCACAAAGCAATTCTGGAGATCAGAACTAGACAGGTAATTTTACCAAGACTCAGTCTCTAGACTTCTCTTCCTATTCCTCATGTGTTTCTGAAGAAACCTCTGTCCCAAGACCTCCCTCTCTTAATTGGTGATTCCCTCTCTCGAACCATCATTTCATGAAGGACCCAAGCCATGCTTGATCTCACTCATACTTGGATTCATTCCCTGGCTTTCTTCTCCTTCTCTTCACCTACTGCCTTGCTCCAATATGGAAAGCTCCTACTTCAATCTACTTTATATATTGTCTTGGGTACTTATAATTGTATTTCTAGCACTTAGCATAGTGACTCTTAAATACTTTTATCTGAGTATCTAAGTATCTATATATGGCAGCTAGGTGGTGCAGTAGAGCACTGGGCCTGAAGTCAGTCAGGAAGACCTGAGCTCAATCCAACCCCAGCCACTAGCTTTGTGGGCTCCGGGCAAGTCATTTACCCTCTGTCTGCCTCACTTTCCTCAACTATAAAATGAGAGTAGTCATAGCACCAACCTCTCAGGGATGTCATGCCAAGTAAATGAAATAATATTTGTAAAGTGCTTAAGCCCAGTGCCATGCATATAGTAGGCACTAATAAATGCTTATTTTCTTTGTATTTTCCCAACAACTTTTTCCTTATGTCATAAAGGGGAAAGTATGTGAACAATTATACTTTGGTGAAAATATTTAGCAGAGCTAACCTGGGAGTGATTAAAGGGAAACTATGATACAGCACAAAATCCCAGGATATTTTTGATATAGTGATGGCCAACAGCATAACATGGTATAGTAAAAAGAATTCTGGAATTGGAGGCAGAAAATCTGGGTTTGAATCCTAGGTCTGCTACATACTAGCACTATAACCCAAAGGTACCATTTTCCAAATCTAAATTCAGTTTCCTCATCTGCAAAATGAAAATGATCATACCTATACTAGCTCCTCAATAAGGTTACTATAAGGAAAACACTTTATAAATTGTAAAGCACTCTGGAGGGCAGCTAGGTGGCATGGTGGATAGAGGGCCACGCAGGAGCCAGGGGACCTGAGTTCAAATCCAGCCTCAGACAGTTACTAGCTATGTGACCTGGGTAAGTCACTTATCCCTGTTTGCCTCCATTCCTTACCTGTAAAATGAGCTGGAGAAGAAAATGGCAAACCACTCTAGTATCTTTGCCAAGAAAACCCCAAATTGGGTCATGAAGGGTCAGATACAACTAATCAACTAAGCAACAACAAAAGCATGGTAGAAACATAAGCTGTTATTTTAACACCCAGAGTATTCATGCCCTGAGCTCTGAATTACAGTTCCTCAGGGTGAAATTATTACTATCCCCATTTTAAAGATAAGAAAACCGAGGCCCAGAAAGGTGAAGTCCAAGGTCACACAGGTACTGAGAATCAAATCTGGCGTTCAAAGGCAGATTCTTCCTTAAGTCAGTAATCCTTTAAGATCTTTAACTTCTCTGAACCTCAGTTTGCTTCTCTAAAAAGTGGGGGTAGTACAGATTTGACTGCCCTACCCCACAGGATTAGAATAAGGCAATCACTCAGCAAACCTTAAAGTACTCCATAAATGTGAGTTGTTATTACTTCAGTTTGTTTTAGTTTAAACAGAAGGAAACAAAGAAATGTTTGGCCAAAACTCCCTGTACAATTCCCAGGGAAAACGGGCCAACTCTTGAGATCATATACATTCAAGTGGAAAGAGGAAGGTGAGTCCACATAAAGGGGAAGAGAGAAACAAACATGAAAACAGAAACCAAGTCCGCAGAGGCCTCCTTCCTTTGCTCTATTTCCTCAAAAAAAAATGAGCATTTGTTTCCATTTGAGGCTTGCTTTGCAAGACCACTTGCTTTTGTCTTCTTTACCCCCAGAATAAATAAGCAAGTCAAGCCAAACTCTGAGCACAGGGTTCACAAAGAGTTTAATTAAAGTGTGAGGTGAATACTGACCTACTGAAAACAACTCACACTTTCAGACTAGTGGGAGTCATGATAAGTCTGCAATGGAGAATGTTTCTGAAGACCCGGGCAGCATAATTGCTTCATACCTGGGTTTGAATCCTGCGTCCAACATTTAACTGGTGGTGTAACTTTGGGCAAGTCATTTCACCTCTGTCTGCCTCAGTTTCCTCACCTATAAAATGTGAAAAATAATAACATCTACCTCACAGGGTTGCTGTGAGGATCAAAAGAATTATTAACATATTAACATTATTAACATATTAACATAAGAACAAATTAACATATATAAAATGCTTTGCAAATCTTAAAGCACTATGCAAATGATAGCTTATTATTGTTGTTGTTGTTGTCACCATGGGGCAACTAGATGGTACAGTAGATAGAGCACCAGGCCTGGATTCAGGAAGAGCATCTTCCTGAGTTCAAATCTGACCTCAGGCATTTACTAGCTGTGTGACCATGGGCAAGTCACTTAACCCTGCTTACCTCAGTTTCCCCATCTGCAAAATGATCTGGAAAAGAAAATGGCAAACCACTCCAATATCTTTGCTAAGAAAACCCCAAATGGGGTCACAAAGAGTTGGACATGACTGAAACAACTGAACAACAATTATTTCCATAATTTCTACAGTAGACTAAGAAAGTCTTTTCAAGGTTAAGTCCTAAGGAGACCTTCTTTACAAAAGGCCACTAAAATGGGAAAAGCAAAGGATAACCATGAAACATAGAATCACAAACACTTAGAGCTTAAAGGGACCCCAGGAGCCGTCTAGTTCAAGCCATGCCTAAGCAGCAATCCCCTCTGCAATGCTCCCAACCAACAATAATATTCAATATGAAAATGGATCTGAGCTATCATCATCATCACCATCATAGCTAACATTCATATAATGCTGAAAGATTTGTAAAGCACTTCACGTATGTCAATTCATCTGACCCTCTGCACAACTCTGGGAACTAAGTGCTATTATTATCTCCATTTTACAGGTGAGGAAACTGAGGCACAGAGAGGTAAAGTGACTTGCCCAGAGCCAACAGCTAGCATCTGAGGCAGGATTTGAACTCAGAACTTCCTGGCTTCAAATCCAGTACTCTATCCACTACACCTATGCCATTTTAGTCATCTAGAATCCCACTTGAAAACTACCAGTGATGGGGAACTCACAACCTCCCAAGGCAACTTATTTTACTTTAGGACACTTACTTTACTTTAGATTTGAATTTAGGATTGTTTTCTTTCCTTTTTTTTTTTTTTTTGAGAAGTCAAAATTTGCATTTCAACAACTACCATCCATTGCTCCCAGTTCTGTTCTGTTCTCTCTAGCCAAAAGCAATCAAATTCCTCATCCATAGGATAGGCTAGTGCTTCAAATACTTGAAGACAGCAATCATGTTCCTTCCCGTCTTGCCCTTTCAGCCCCAAGTCATATTATATAAGCAAGCAGCTGCCTACTCTATATCTGAATGAGGCTGGTCCCGAACCAGCAGGGTATATTTACACAGCAGGTGGTCAGGAGCAAAGTGGCTGCAGAACAAAGGTCGTCAAGGAAGTCAGAACTCAGAGTCAAAAGACCCAGGATCGCATCTTAGTTATTTGCTTCCTCACTGAATGAGCTGTGTGGCCTGGGGCAAGTCCTTTCAAGGCCTCGAAGAACTGGGGTCTCATTCCACTTCCAGTAAGGAGCAGAATTTCAGTTCAGTCGCTTTTTCTTTGGTAGCCAGAAGATACTGCACTCCTGGGTCACAGAACACAGGTAAGTTCTTGCTTGGGGGAACCTACAATCACTGACCTAGAACTGGAAAGAATCTCAGAGACCATGTGGGCCTGCTTCCTTGTTTTACAGAGAAGAAAATGGAAGCCCCAGGGAAACCAGGCGGATTATGATCATAGAACTAGCTTTGGAAGGATCCTAAGAGACCATTTAGTTCAATTCTCTCATTTTAAAAGCATTTTTTTTGAGGCAGTTGGGGTTAAGTGACTTGCCCAGGGTCACATAGCTAGAAAGTGTTTGAGGCTGGATTTGAACTCAGGTCCATCTGACTCCAGGGCCAGTTCTCTAACCACTGTGCAACCTAACTGCCCCTGCAGCACTCTCCTTTTAAAGATAAAGAAACTGAGCCCCCCGGGAAGTTAAATGAGTTGCCTAAAGTCATGTAGAGCAACTAGGTGTCATAGTGGAAAAAGGGGGCCTGGAGTCAGGAAGACCTGAGTTCAAATGTGACCTTGGACACTACTTAACTAGCTGTGTACCCCTGGGCAAGTCACTGAACCCCATTTACCTCAATTTCCTCATCTGTAAAATGAGCTGGAGAAGGAAATAGCGAACCATTCTAGTATCTTTCCCAAGAAAACCCCAAAATGGGGTCATGAAGAGTTGGACATGACTGAAAAATGACTCACCAATAACAACAAAAAGTCACATAGGTAGTAATATCAGATGTAGGATTTTAACACAGATTGTCTGGCTTAAGAATCAGTGTTCTTTCCCCTGTAAAATGCTGCCTCTCATGTAGAAGAATTCAGATAAAGTGGTAGAGGATTGTTTTATTCTAATATAGTATATATTATTACCCAATGTCAATCAGCTTTTATTTTATATAAACAGTGTGGTACCGTGGTTTATGAACACTGGATCATTGACCTGGGCTCAGACTTCTGCTCTGCTCCTTCCTACCAGTGTTGCCTCAAAACATGCCTCTTAATCTTTCTAGGCCTCATTCTTGCCATCTGTAAGATGGGCACTTCACAGGAGAGGACCTCTGAGGTCTCTTTCAGCTCTCTCTCTCTCTCCAGGGTCCTATGATCTCTCTAGGGCTTATTTATCTCATCGGCAAAATGGGGATGACAACGTGCTACCTATCTTACAAAAAACGGTTGTGAGGATAATGTTTTGTAAATAGTAGAGAACTAAGGAAATGCGAACCATTCCTAGAAACAAATTTGTATGGCAGGGAGGAAATCTATGGGGGCTACAGGCTTGGACTACTGAAGCCTGAACCAGCCTCAGGGAAGTGTAGGGGTCCAGAGGCAGGTTAGTGGTCAGCTACTCCCAACAGGATTACTTGGTAAGTTATCTTTTCAAGAATGGAGCCACAGAGATTCAAATTCTGAAGCAATAAAAATAGCATCATGCCAGATTAGAGCTGTTCCCATAAGAGGAAATGAGCATGCTTCCTTAACTTACTTAGATTCCTAGAAATTTCTAAAAATCATATGGCATCTGAACTAAAAGGTAAAGGAAAAGAGAACCGATTTTCAGACTCCTCTATGCATAGCAGCTATGTTATTGTTGTTGTTCAGTCATTTTCAGTTACATTCAACTCTTCACAGCCCCTTTGGGGGTTTTCTTGGCAAAGATACTGCAGTGTTTTGCCATTTCCTTCTGCAGCTCATTTTACACATGAGGAAACTGAGGCAAGAAGAGTTAAGTGACTTGCCTAGAGTCACACAACTCGTAACTGTTTGAGGTTGGATTTAAATTCAATTTTTCCTGACTCCAGGTCCCCAAACTCTATCAGCCATGCTACCTAGCTACCCTATAACAACTGTGTACTTGGGTGTAATCATGCTGAAAAAATATATAATAAGAAACATAGAACCACAGATTTATAGCTAGAAGGACTTTACAGGTCATCTAGTCCAACCCTATTACCTTAAAAAAAAAAAGGAAACAGGTTCAAATAGGTTGTTCCTTATAGACAGGGAATATTTCATTTTTTATCACTAGCACCTAGCTCAGACAAAGTACTTAACAAATACTTGCTGTTTTAATGATTGCTCAAGGTCACACAGAGCTGGGATTCAAACTCAAGTCTTCTGATTCCAAAGCCAGAAGTCTCTCCACAATACCAAGTATACCATAAGTTTGACCTTGAGTGAATCACTTAATCTCTCTTTACCTCAGTTTACTCAAGTGAAAAATGAATAGGTTGGATTACATGACCTCTAAGGTCCTTTCCAACTCTGGATTTATGATGTTAGTCAACAGTTATTTATTAAGCACCTGCTATGTGCCAAGTACCTCGCTAAGCGCTGAGGCTACAAAGAAAACAAATGATAGAAGAGACAACATGAAAAAAGCTACATACAAGTAAATTCTACACAAGACAAGGTAGAGATATGTTCAAAGGAAAGGTAATAAGGTTAAGGAGAACTAGAAAGGTTTCTTGCAGAAGGTGAAGCTTTAGTTGAGACTTGAAAGAAGACAGGGGAGCTAAGAAGTAGAGATGAGGAGGGAAAGAGTTTCCACCATGGGAGGATAGTCAGGGAAAATGCTCTGTCAGGAGTTGGAGTGTCTAGTTTGAGGAATGGTGAGGAGACAAGTGTCATTGGATGGCAGAGTACAGAGGGGGCAGGAGAAGGTGTAAGAAGATTGGAAAGTTAGGTAAGGACCAGATTATGAAAGGCTTTGAACAGCAAATGAAGGATTTTCTATTTGAACCTGAAGGTGATAGGGAGCCTCTGGAGTTTATTGAATGGAGGGATGATTAGGGCAGACCTATACTTTAGGATGATCAATTTAACAGTTGGGTGGAGAATGGATTGAAGCGAGAAAAGACCTCAGACAGGGGAACCAACCAACAGACTGTTGAAATAGTCCAGGCATAAGGTAATGAGAGCCTGTACCATGGTGGTAACAGTGTCAGAGGAGAGAAGAGGGCATATACAATAGATGTTTTGAAGGTAAAATTGACTGAACTTGGCAATTGATTAGATATGGAGGAAGAGGGTACAGACAAAGTGAGGAATACAGTACGACACCTCGATTTTGAACCTGATTGACAGGGAAGATGGTGAGACCTTTGACAATAATATGGAAGTTAGAAAAAAGGGATAGATTTTTGGTTTGGTTTGGCTGTTTTTTTTAAAGATTATCAATATAGTTTTGGACATGTTGAATTTAAGATATCTACAGGACATCCAATTCAAAATGTCCAATAAGTAACTGAAGATATGAGACTGGAGGTTGGGGAGGGAGAAGAGAGAAGAAGAGGGGGGGAGGGAGAAGAGAGAAGAAGAGGGAGGGAGGGAGAAAGAAAGAGAGAGACAAAGAGACAGAGAGATTAGAGTTAGGTAAAGTAAAGTGAGTAGCATCAGCATAGAGATGACAATTAAATCCATAGGAGCTGATGAAATCACCAAGTGAAATACTATAGAGAGAAACGAGGACCCAGGACAAAGACCTAGGGGACACTCACCACTAACAGGTATAACCTGAATGAAGATTCAGCAAAGGAAACTGAGGAACCATTCGATAGGTATGAAGAGAACCAGGAAACCTACGGAGAAGAGGATGTCAAGGAGAAAGGGGATGATTGACAGTGTCAAAGGCTGCAGAGAGGTCAAGAAAGGACGAGGATTGAGAAAAGCCCATTGTATTTGGCAATTAAGTCATCACTGGTAACTTTGGAGAGATGAGTTTCAACTGACTGATGAGGTCTGAAGCCAGACTGTAGAGAGTTCAGAAAAGAATGAAAGGAAAGGAAGTGAAGGCACCTATTATAGATAGCTTTCTCAAGGAGTTAAGCCCCAAAAGGAAAAAGAGATCTGGCATGACAGTAAGCAAGGACAGATGGATCAAGTGAGGGTCTCCAGCTCTTTAGCTGCCCTCACCTGGCACTAGCTGCCCTTGGCCTGGCATATAGTAGATGTTTATTGACTAACTGACCTGGGTTCAAGTCTAGACCCTGCTTCTGATTAGACATGCAGATCAGGCAAGTTACAGCATCTCAGTTTTCTCATCCTTCAAATGGGAATAATATGATTTAAATTACCACCCTCACAGGGGTGTAGTGACAATTAAATGAGAAAAATGAAGGCAAAAGTACTTTGTAACCATAAAATGCTAAATGATTATTGTAAGATATTATTGATAAAATGGAGCTACAAATCCCTGCCCTAACTCCCACACTGGATTGTTGTAAGGATCAAATGAAATAATGGATAAGAAAGTGGCATGCCAAGTACAAAGCCCTATGCAGATGTGAGTTCCTGAGGCATTAATATAAGCTTAAATCATTTTTCTCAGGAAATTCTGCTAGTTAAGTTGGCTGGGATGTTACATTTATTTGTGTCAATAGTGATGTAAGATTTTTTAAAATATTGCTACATCTCAGTGCTATACTGGTAAATATTCAACAAGCCCTCTGGGGGGAGAAAGGTATGCAGGACACACTTTAGAGTTTTACCTGCATTATTAACATTCTCTTCATCACTTTATTATGTCCAGATGATCAACAAAACAAAACAAAACCAATCGCTGATTTGTACCATTTACTGATTTCCAATATATTATTGCTCACACTGAAAATTTAACAACTGGCTCTCCCTGAGCCCATAAGAGCTGGCTCTAGCATACCTGACATTTTGGGGCTAGGCCTCTGAATTATTCAACCAATTAGTCAAAAAACATTTATGAAGTGTTTACTATGCATCAGGCATTGCACTAAGTGTTGGGGATATAAAGAAAGAAAAACATGATCCCTGCCCTCAAAAAGCTCACTTCTAATGGGTGAGACAATATTCAAACAACTCTACATACAAGTGAGTTCTTATCCCAGAAGCTGGGGTCTTTGGGTTTATCAAATAGTAGATTACTATAGTCATTCGCTACTGTGTCTTCCATACCTAACCTATTCCACTGACCTACCACTCTATTTCTTAGCCAGTACCAAGTAGTTTTGATGATTGCTGCTTTATTATGCAATTTAGGATCTGGTACAGCTAGGCCACCTTCCCTTACATTTCTTTTCATTAGTTCCCATGATATTCTGTACCTTTTATTCTTCCAGATGAATCCTGTTATTATTTTTTCTAGCTATATAAAATAATTTTTTGGTAGTTTGATTGGTATGGCACTGAATAAGTAAATTAATTTAGGTAGAATTGTCATTTTTATTATATTGGCTTGGCCTACCCATGAGCAACTGATGTTTTTCCAATTATTTAGATCTGACTTTATTTGTGTGAAAAGTGTTTTGTAATTGTGTTCATATAGTTCCTGGGTTTGTTTCAGTAGGTAGACTACTAAATATTTTATAATGTCTACAGTAACTTTAAATGAAATTTCTCTTTCTATCTCTTGTTGTTGGGCTTTGTTGGTTATATATAGAAATGCTGATTGGGAAAGAATTTTTACAACCAATGTCTCCGATAAGGGTCTCATTTCTAAAATATATAGAGAATTAAGTCAAATTTATAAGAATATAAGTTATTCCCCAAGTGATGAATGGTCAAGGAATATGAACAAGCAGTTTTCAAATGAAGAAATTAAAGCCATCTATAGTCATATGAAAAAATGCTCTAAATCACTATTGATTAGAGAAATGCAAATCAAAAATGACTCTGAGGTACCCTATCACACCTATCAGATTGGCCAACATGACAAAACAGGAAAATGATAAATATTGGAGAAGATATGGGAAAATTGGAACACTGATGCATTGTTGGTAGAGTTGTGAAATGATCCAACCATTTTGGAGAGCAATTTGGAACTATGCCCAAAGGGCTATAAAAATGTGCATACCCTTTGACCCAGCAATAGTACTTCTAGGGCTGCATCCCAAAGAGATCATACAAATGGGAAAAGGACCCACATGCACAAAAATATTTTAGCAACTCTTTTTTGTGGTGGCAAAGAAATGGAAATTGAGAGGATACCCATCAATTGGGGAATGGCTGAACAAGTTGTGGTATATGAATGTAATGGAATACTATTGTGCCATAAGAAATGATGACCAGGCAGACTTCAGAAAAACCTGGAAAGACTTGTATGGACTGATGCTATGTGAAATGAGCAGAACCAGGAGAACGTTGTACACAGTACCAGCCACAATGTGTGATGACCAACATTGATAGACTTAGCCCTCCTCAGCAATACAAGGATCTAAGACATCTCCAAAGGTCTCATGATGGAAAATGCTATCCACATCCAAAGAAAGAACCATGGAGTTTGAATGCAGATTGAAGCATACTATTTGCTATTTTTTTTTCTTCTGTTTTGTTTTGTTTTTTCTGTCTTGTGGTTCCTCCTATTGGTTCTAATTCTTCCTTACAACATCATAAATGTGAAAATATGTTTAATAGGAACGTATATGTATAGCCTATATCAGATTGTGTGCTGTCTAGGGATCAGAGAGGGAGAAAACTTTAAAACTCAAAAACTTATGGAAGTGATTGTTGATAAATTAAAATAAATTAATAAAAAAATTAAATTATGATCCTCTAAAAAAAAGAGCATGATTATAGAGTTAAAAATCAGGCAGTGAGGTGGTGCAGTGAATAGAGTGCCAGGCCTGGAATCAGGAAAACCTGAGTTAAAATCTGGCCTCAGATACTTACTAGCTAGCTATGCGACCCTGGCCAAGCCTCTTAACCCTATTTGTCTCAGCTTCCTCATCTATAAAATAAGCTAGGGAAGGAAATGGCAAGCTACTCCAGTATCTTTGCCAAGAAAATCCCAAATGGGGTCACAAAGACTCAGACATGACTGAAAACGACTCAACAACAACAACAGAGCAAAGAGTATTGAATCTGTAGTTAAAGGATCTGGGTTCAAGTCCTGACTCTGCCACTTATAATTTGTGTGATTTGGGTCAAGTCATTTAACCTGTATGGGGTTGTTTCCTCATCTGTAAAATGAGAAAGTTGGAAAAGATCTCAAAGTTCTCTTCCATTTCTAAATCTATAATCTTGTGATTCTTTAGGATTGGATAGTATCTAAGGTCCCTTCCAGCTCTGACATTCAGTATTTTCAGGTCCCTTCTAGTTCTGACGTTCTTTGAGTTTATACAGATTACTAACTCAGTGAGTTCAGTTGAGGTCTTAAAACTGTATTTTTCATCAATTTGAGGTGAAGTCATTGGCTAAGGAATGGACTTGTATATGGACAAATGATTCACTCTATTTAATCACCCATCACTAGTACTATCTACAAGTGGTTTCTGAACACATTCCTAAATGGAAAATAAAAATATAAGAAACAAAGGGTCCCATGAGAAAAAATTTAAATCAAGTAAGCAATTGCTCCAGGAACCCTGATCTAAGCTAAGATCTGATATAAGTGGGTACATAACTAAAATCTCTGATCATGTCTTCTTCCTTGCAGCTGCCTGGAGGGATCATGGCTGGAAATACCAAGGTTATAATTCTGGATATTAACCAGTATCCCAACCAATCTCTTCTCCTTTAACCTACCTTCCCTGTCACCTTAAGGCTTTGGGTGAGGTGCAAGGTAGCTCCTCACTGGACAAAAGGTGGGAATTCAAGATCCAAACTAAGTTTGTAAGACCTCCACATTCTGTTGCTTCTAAGCTCTAACTAGAGAATACTTTTAACAAAGCTTTCAATGTGCAACTGGTTCAACCAACTTCTCTCTGCTGCCATGTTTTCATACCCCACTGGATCACAACAAGGATTGCAAATTAAGATCTGTTTGCAATCAGCATATTAGGTTTCTTTCTACTATTTTCATGTATCTGAGAAAGAGTTGCCAAATGGCTAACAGATGCTGTGATTCTGGAGAAAGACATCCCTCTGATATAAACCCAGACAAAATGAAAGAGGGGGTGGGGGAGGGAAAGGAGAGAGGCAGGTAGAATAAGAGACTTGATTCCTAGTCCTTACTAGAAATGAGACTAGACTATGTGAATGGGACTGTGACCTTGTGATCTTAGGCGAGCAATTTTCTGTCCCTCTGCCCCTAGATTTTTCCCCTATAAAATGAGAGAATTGGACTAAATCTCTAAGATCTCTCTGAGATACAAGGTTCTACAGTTTTACGATTCTAAGGTCCCTCACAGCTCAATCATTCTGTTTTTGTTCTAAAATTTTATATTTTATGTCTCTTCTGTATTTAACATTCTGTTGTTTCAATATTTTATTGTCCAAAGTCCCTTTCATCTCTTACATTCTATAGTCTGTGTTCTAAGGTCCCTTTCAGTTTTGACATTCTGTGTTCTATGTCATGAAGTCCTTTCCAGCTCTAACATTCTGTTCTTTTGTGACATAGCACAGATTGGGATGATTTATTTTTTCTTGTAGCTGGAAAGGGCTGGGAATCCTAAAATGCATTGGCCATAATTATACATTGGAGGCCAAAGGTCAGGAGCTTTGCATATACAAATATGTACACTGTCAAACAATAAGCAGTGAGTAATCCCCAAGGGGAAAGGTGTTTAGTATACATCCCTGTGGTTTCTTTTGTGTTGTTTTGTTTTTCCTGCTGGCTAAAGCAAGGGCATTGGTCCAAAGCACTGATCCAGAACCTGAGAAGGTTTCCCACAATACAAAAGGAAATAAAGTGCTCTTATCCAGGACTTAACTAGTTGATTCCCATAGAAAATAGAGCTAGCAATAAATCTGGTCCTACAATAGTTAGCTGCTGTTTTTGCTGTTGTTCATCCTTAGTATTCAAAGAAGATCAATGACACCACATTAAGTGATGCCCTTGACTTATGGGTGTATCGGATTGAAGTGAGGCAGAGTTGCACAATTTTGTCTCATTCTCTTTTCCAGAGTCATCAAAGTCTGGGAGTCAGACATAAGTCAGGACAACTGGCAATGACCCGGGATGCAGTGGTTGACCTTGATGTCTTTGATGTCTGACCAAGCTCTAAGGGCTTCACAATTCTCCTCCACTCATTCTGCCAGGGAAAGGCTTCACATGCTTGGGATAGACATCCACCTAACTCAGCAACAGGTTTAAGGTCTGGCAATTACATTCAACCTGATTTAGCTTATCTACTGAGATGGTTTTACTGGGGTGTGGCCACTGCACATGCTACAGCTACATGGAGCCACATGTGAGAGCTGGGCGATGGGTGGACACCAAAAGTGGATGAGCAGCCCTGAAAAAAAAAGGGCTCAGCAAGCCCACTCACCAGAGGTGCTAGTCCTCCCTCAACACTCGCACACCCCACAATGGTTAGCTACATCCCCCATAGAGCTCTGCATTGTAAAAAAGTTTAGTTAGACCAAATAAAGCAAGGCATCAGTCAAGAAGTAGCTAGGTGACTGTATAGAGAGCTGGGACTGGAGTCAAGAAGATGTGAGTTCAAATTCTGCCTCACATAAATACTATCTGTGTGACCCTGGGCAAATCATTTTATTTTAACTGTTGTCTGCCTCAGTTTCCTTAACCATAAAATGGGGATAATAGTAGCACCTACCTCCCAAAGTTGTTGTGAGGATTAAATGAGATAATATTTGTAAAACATTTGGTACGGTGTCTGGAACACAGTAGATGCTTAATAAATGATTGTTTCCATATTTCCTTCAAGTAGGAAAATGTATGCTTCATTCTGCACTTATATAGACTACTACTTCTCTGTCAAGAATAAGACATGTTTTACTGTCATTCCCCTAGAATAAAAATTGGCCACTGACACAATCAGAATTCTGAAGTCTTTTCATATTGTTTTTTTTACATTTTTTCTGGACATGCTGTAATTTTTTTCCCTCTTGGATCTACTTAGTTTTCTCTGCATCAATAAATGTAAGTCTTCTCAAGTTTATCTGAATTCTTCATGTTCATCATTTCTTATGACAATAATATTCCATTATATGCATATGCCACAATTTGTGTGGTTATTCCATAGCCGGTGAGTAATTTATTTCCAGTTTTTTGCTACAAAAAAGTACTGATACACATATTTTTTATATACATAGGACCTTTCTTTCTATTTTTGTATCATCAGATCTGAAGGTATGCATAGTGTCTTGAGTGAAATTTAACAAAAAGATAAACTAAGACACATTTCTCTGCAAAAGATAGTTTATTATTATTATTAATACCTACTAATAAAGAGGTAAATGATTGCTTCAGTTTCTAACCAAAGACCCAAAAGAGAAGGTGCAACTCATTTTTATAAGCATAGAACAAAGAACAGAAGAGAAGTCACATAATTGGCTGGCATCATGGGTGGTGAGGAATCATAATTGGTTACATTAAGGAAAATGGTTTTATACACACAAAACCCTGGACCACTCCTCCCTGCCTTGAAGAAATACTTTATAAATTTATGAGACCCAGCTGTATAGGGAACCAGGGATGTATGGCAACCGGGAATTGGATAAGACCATCTTTTTAATTGGTGAGGATGAGTCTAAAGATGGTACAAGATCAGCTAGTCTACTTCTCAAGTGAAACACCCAAATGCCTGGAGTTTCTCAGAAGCTAAAGTGATTTGTAGGTGGTAGTGAGATAACAAATCCCACAGAATAAGGATGTTTTATGAGAGAAATGTTCTTCTAAACTTCAGGCCATAGTCTCTCTTTAATTAAGAGTGACTGTGGGAAAGGCTAAACCTTTGGTATCTAATTGAGAGAGAAAGATGGAACTTTTGAACCCATGAGCTTCTTTACTTAGAGAAGAAGCTGAGGTTTGTATGTGGAACTACAGAATAAAATAATTTACAAAGTAAAATCAAGTATAAAACATGGGACAAGTAGTTAATTCTCACAATTTGCATGCATCTGTGACATTTCTAGAAAATAGACAATTTTCACTTTACATAATTTGCATTATGCAAATCTGACTTTACTTAAAGAATTATGAAAGAAATATGAATGAGGATTCTGAATGAAAATCTGATTGAGCTACTAGCTGCAAAGATTGAAGAGGAGGAAAGGGAATCTTCAGAACCTGAGCTTGAACCAGAAAGGTTCCCAACAAAATAGTTGGCAGAAGCATTCATCATTTGAGTGAATGTTTTTCTTGTATTGAAAAGATGGATCCAAATATTTCAAGATTTTTAAAAGTTCAAAGACTAGTTGAGGAAAATACTACTTGCTATTGTCAGATATATGAAGGAGGGGGAAGAAAGCCACTGTCCAAACATCTCTTGATAACTTCATTAAAAAAAAGTTGTATAGCCAACCGCCAGTGATAAAGGCTAGGTGCAGGGGGTGGGAAAGGGGCAGCATACTGCACACCTGTGTTAACTTTACTGTATAGTACTGTGCATACTTTATCATTAATTTTACCTTTCATTTCATAATTCCATTTATTATCATGGTACAGTATTTAATATGTCTGCATTTTGGTATATTTTACGACTTGAGGAAAGGTATTATTTTATGTATGCCTTTGTTATTACAGGCTAAGTGAAGTGGGTGGCTAGGGGCAAATTCACATTATATAAAAGTCATTTAACATAGAGGTCTGTGGGACCTCTATGTTAAGGCAAGAATTGCTTTTAGTAACTTTTTCTAGTATAATTCCAGATTGTTTTCTAAAATGATTGGACCAATTCACAATTCTACCAACAGTGCATTAAAACAACTGTGTTTTCATAGCCCCTTCCAACATTTGCCATTTTTGTCTCTGCCAATGTGAGGAATATGAGGCCAAACCTCAGAGTTATCTTAATTTGGATTTATTATATTAGTGCTTTGGAACATTCTTTCAATTTATTGTTTATAGTTTGCATTTTTTCTTTTAAAACTGCTTCAGCCATTTTTCTATTGAGGAATAACTTTTGTTCTCAAACATTTGTATCAATTCGCTATACATCTCAGATATTTGACGTATCAGAGATATTTGCTGTGAAGATTTTTTTCAATTAACAGCTTACCTTCTTATTCTTGCTGCTTTAATTTGGTTTGTGCAAAAGCTTTACAATTGTGTGTAAAAGGGGTCTGGCACATACATGGTGCTCCTCAAAGATTATTTACCATATAGAAGGAGCTAGAGAGCTCACTTCTGGGAGAGTCATGCTTTAAAGAGATTTTTTAGCATGTGTAGATGTGCTTTGTAACTAGTTCCAATCTGTTAACCGAAGAAATGTTCTCAATTGCTGGGAAAACGGATGTGTTTCAAAAGACAATAGCAACCAGAGACTCGGCCATTTTCTCTTCAAGCACTTTCTTAGTTTGACTTCTTTGCTTTCCAATGAGAAGCTATACTATTAGAGAAGAGGCCTTAAAGGGCTTCCTCCCTCCTGAAGCCAATATGTGGCCCCGTGAAAGAAGGTTCTGTCCTTGGATTATAAATTTGTTCTTGTCAGTTTAAGGTGAAGGGATTGGATCCTCTGACCTCATGAGTCTGTAAAGATCAGGAGCATAAACATCTGGGAGGCTCAGCATCTTAGAATGTAGGAAACCAGATTTAAAAGCTAGCCCAACAGTGATGCCCTGAGGAACACAGAGTGACCTTTGAGAGTGACCATCAAGATTCAGGACAGCAGTAGTTGAGATTAGGACTTACATCAGCTATGACACATTTGGATGGGTGCTTGGCAAAAGCAATACTATGTAGGAACTTAAGTAAATTTGGGCCTACTCTCTCCAGAGACTGCAGTGGAATAGGGAAGAGTGTGTCTCTGATGTATTAGGGGAATATCTTTATAATTCTGCACTTACTGTCGGTGCTGTTGTTTGTCCTTCATTTTCGAAGAGGACCAATGACATCATGCGGTGATGTCTTGACTGGTGCATGAATTAGATTTAAGTGAGGTAGAATTGCACAAAGTTGTCAGCCTCACTCCCTCTTTCAGAGTCATCAAAGTCCAGTGGCAAGACAAAAATCAGGACTGCTGATAATGGCCCGGGATGCAGTAGATGACCTTGACATCTTTGATGTTTGACCAAGCTCTAAAAATTCCACAGCATCTGCTTCAGTTGCCTTCATGGCTGTTGGAATTGTTCTCATCCACCCATTCTCCAGAGGGAAGTTTCCACATGCTTGAAGTAGACATCACCTTACCTCACTTACGGGTTTGAGGCCTGTTGGTTACCCTCAACCTGGTTTAACCCATCTGCTGAAATGGTTTTATCGCGATATGACTACTGTCCCTGCTACAGCTTCTGGAAGCTACAGATGAGAGTTGGGTGACAGGTGGACACCGAAGGTAGATGAATAGCCCCGAAAAGAGCTTTGCAAGCCCTCACACCAGAGGTGCTAGTCCTCCCTGAACACCCCATACATCCCATAAAACCCTTTGTTATACAAGTATCCAATTAATATTAATGTATTATATTACTAAAATGTATTATGTGTGGTATGTATATTATAATTCCACTATAAATATCACAAAATGACAATTAACAATATATTATGTAATAGTATATTGTTAATATGATCTTACTACTATTATTCAATATATAAAATTCAAATAATCATCATAATTCTTTATTTTATATTATAACTATTTTGTCATATAAATACTATACAACAGAAGGTATTATTAACAATGATTGATTATTATACACACAGACACACAAATATACACATCAATTGTTCTTTAAGTGAATTTAATCCAATAATCGGTTAGAAAAATGACTGGTTACCAATTTTTTAAATTGATTTTGTCAAAAGGGTATAGTGAATACAGAGCTGGCCACACTGGCTGTCCAGTCACTGTCCAGTGACTCTGGACAAGTCACTTAACCTGTTAATCCTCTAAGCAACTAACTTTCTAAAAAGTTTAAAGTTGCAAAACAGGAGCAGCTCTGCATTGACAGAGGAAGTCCTCTTCCCTAAGATTTCCCTTAATCAATGAAATCCCAGGTTCAGTCCAAATAAAAAGCAACCTCAAACAAATGAAAAAAAAA